GATATAGCAGTATAACCCGAAATCTCTATTCCGAAAAATAAAAATAAAAAAATATGCAATCTATATAAGCATATATATATACATAAAAATATTAAAAATTAAATATGTATATTTATATATTTATATATTTATATACTAATTTAATATTTAATATTATATATATGCATATATAGATAGATATATTCTACCTATATATAAAAAATGTACAATATATATGCAATATATACACAACTATATATATATTAAAATAATTGTAATTATATTATAAATAATTAAAAATATAATAAACATTTCAAAATTCATATATATATATATATGCATAAAATAGTAACTATTAAATGTATATATATGTATATGTATATATTAATAAATATATACATTTAATATTTACTATTTTATGTATATATGTTTATATATATATTGTATATTGTATATTTTATTTTTATTTTTATTTTTAGTTATTTTTATTTTTATTTTTATTTTTATCTGATGTGACATATGACGATGAGTTGAGTCATCCACCACGATCAGATTAATCGTTAGTCGATTTAACGCCGTTTAACGTTAATGAGATTTTTGTTAAAAATTTACAAGTTCATTATTTTTTGTGTCAAAATCAACGAGTTCATACTTAATTTGGAAATTTGAAAAGTCCGGTATTAATATATCAATTATCCCCAAATTCGGTAATTGTTTTGGAATTTTTCCTTAACAATATCATTATTATTATTATTTTAAATAATTTTTTTGTAGAGATCTAATAAAAGAAATATCGGGACCGTTCATATTTTTTCAAATCTATACAATATGTAGACAACAATACTCATATTTTTTTCACAATTTTGCTTCTTTATATTGTTTTTATGTACAATGATGATTTACAATAATTTATGTTTACAACTATATTTTTTTAGGAAAAAATATTTGAAATTTTCTGAACTTATAATTTAGTGTAATATTAATTGTTGAACTTGTAGATGCACCTATTTATTCTAAAACCTATATTTTTGAATATAGTAATTCTTGAACTTGCATATTTGAACACAGTAATTCCTAAACTCGTATTTTTTAACACAGTAATTCCTAAACTTTGTTTTAGTCAATTAGTAGTATTGACGATTATAGAACTGTTAAACAAGTTATGAATTACTGTGTTAAAAAATGCGAGTTCGGGAATAAATAGGCACACCTACAAGTTCATGAATTAATATTACACCGAATTACAAGTTTAGGAATTTTTAAGTATTTTTTCCATTTTTTATACATCAAACAACTAATCTATAACATTTTTAATTATATTGACATCAACAAATTTTATAATAAAAATTATAAATAAAAAACCTAGTTATATATAAAAATCGAATATGAATCGAACTTAATCATATTTTAAAACTGAATTCAAATTGACTTCAAATTGAACGTAATCCTATATTCGAAATGGAATCGAATCTGAGTTGAACGAAATCCTATATAGAAATTGAATTCGAATTAAATACGAATCGAATATAATCATATGTAAAAAACGAATTCGAATCGAATACGAAACGAAGATAACTCTATGTCCAAATTTGAATCGAACCCGAATCGAACAGAACTCTAGTTTGAATTTGAATCGAATCCAAATCAATCGGAATCCTAGGTGAAAATCGAATGTGAATAATATGAATCAAACCAAATTTTTAATAAAAACGAATCCAAATTGAAACGAACTAAATCCGAATATGTTAATTAAACAATCAATTAAAATAATTGGGTCTAAATGAGCTAATTGGATTAATCCAATCCATTTGATTTTAAAGATAATATTATTGGGTTGAATTAACGTCATCCATTAAGTCTACTAATCCAAACGGATTGACATTAAATAGGTTGATAATCCCTTCAAGGGCCGTTGTAGACATTTTTTTTTTGAAGATGCCCCACCGGTGCGGTATGAAGCACGTGGATGGGTAAAATCGTCATTTCATTAAATAAAATCACAAGGCTGTTGTCGAGAGATCGAACTAGTGGCGACGGATCGAACTAGTGGCGACGACGGCGACCACCACCGCGAAACGAAACCGAAAACATCGGCCGCCGAGGATGCTCCGTTCACCTATCTGTCTCATATTCTCTCTCCTCATCCTAACCCTAACCCTAACCCTAACCCCAGTCCTCGCTCTCCATCCTTCATACCCAGACGAATTCAACATCACATCCACGCCTATTCTACAGGTAACGATCTAACAATCTCCGATGGTGTTTCCATCTTCTTCTTTGAAGATTGATTGGTCGATTTCGTTCTGTTCAGGAAGTGTTGAAGGAGATTTCTTCGAGACAGAAGTGGAACGACGAGGTCAGGTTTTCGAAACTAGAAGTGAAGAAGATCCGGGTAGGTTCCGGTCGGAGCTTTGAGGTTCAAATCCGGGTTGGGAAGAGCCGATTTGCTTTTGTCTTCCCCGACGAAGTTTCTGCTTGGAGAAGTGTCCATGGAAGAGATGTGAAGTTGGAGAGTATGGTGAAGGAAGTTAATTCAACTACGGTTCTCGATCCGGTTGCTTTGGAGGGTCCGTTTGAGCTTCGAGTCGCCGGCGATGATCACCTATCACTCTCGTTACCGGTACGGCATCTTTCTGATTGTTGTTTTTATTCGAAAGGAGACTTGTAGTGAATGAATGGGGCAATGGTAATGATGCTGCTATTGCTTGGATTTCTAGGAAGTAATGAGAAATTTAGACCTTTGGTGGGAGAATTCCACGGAATTTCGATGTTTTTGGATTGTGATGTAGTTCAGATGATAAAATGGTTGCTGTTATAAGCACTCTTGCTTGTGTTTTATGAGATTTGGGATTTGAGGTGTAAGGTTTCTGCTTCTAGTCCTGCTTTCGTGGTGATGAATCTGCGCACCGCTGTGGCGACAGTCTTTCGAAATGTGAAAAATTAAGAAATGTCGGTTTTTGTTCAATTCAGTTCTTGGGTTTTGATATGATCATTCATTCCTTTGACTGAATTAGCCATTCATCTTGGTTTTATCAAATGCTTAAAGCCATTGCGTTCCTTTTGTGAATCCTTTGTAGAGTAGTGGCTGTAATTGTCTAACCAAACACTTGTTATTTATAGAAAAATATTGCTTTGTTCTCAAGGAAAAAAACCATCTCTCGAGTTTTTAGCTTCACTCTTATCTAATTCTTTTGTGGAAATAGTTTTGAGAAGTGTCGGGCTTTGTTTAGATGTATTCCTGGTTGCTGATAATTGGGGCTTTTGATTTGCTCTTAGATGAACATTTCACACACTGGTCTGAAAAGAGTCATCGTCAGCGAGGGCATCTCGGTGGAAGTGAGGAAAGCACAAGGAGTCTCCCTTTTCCACTCATCACACCAAAGATTCCCAGCAAGTGAAGATAAAGAGAAACCTTATTCATGGTCATTTGATAGTTCTATGTGCGTGCTACTGCCTCCAATACGGATCGTAGGATCAGCATCGCTGGTTGCGCATAGGACTTTGAATGCTGATTCGCAAATCAAGACTTTGTACTTATCAGATGACACCATTCGGTTGCTTCCAGAAAAATGTTACAACTCTCGTGCGTACCTGCAGCCTCGCTCTATCGATCTTCTTGGCTTGAAGATTGATAGGTTGGAAAAACTGCTGAGTTTTCTTGGGAACAGAAGCCGCCAAATCGATCTGATGGGTTCTATGACAGCAAAATTAAAGGCATCGGGTATGTTACGGTTCCAGTTGGAAATTGAGAGAGGTATCGAGAGTACGAAATCTCTGCTCAACAAGACAGCAGAGTGGAGAACAAAGCCTAAGGTCGAACGGGTTTGGTTTGAAGTAACCGCAAAAGTGGAAGCCGAGAAATTGAAGCCAAAGACGGTGAGAAAGGTAGTTCCTTTTATTGAAGTGGATACCGAGGCATGGAGCAGTTTGATGTCGAACATATCGTTCACTAAGTTCCCGTCATTACTTGTTCCTCAAGAAGCTCTGACACTCGACGTGAAGTGGTAGCAGAAAGCTTGTAAGTAATCATTCGCACAGCATCTTTTACTCCTTTTTTTTCCATTTTTTTTCCTCGTTTATGTTGGTTGTCTCTTCTTACAACCTTTGTTGTGATCATAAGATGAACTAAGTAGCTCGTTTGGCCTTGTACGTAGTTTCAGTAAGTTATAAGTAACACGAAAATAGGTAAAGGATTTGTGGGTTTTGTTTCGTGATTGTGTATAGATTGAGACTGATGTATTCAGGGATCAGTTTGGATATTGGTCCAAGTTTGGGTTGGTTTTGTGATATGTTGAATCTAGGGTTATAAATTCGGCTACCAACTCAACCCGGGATTGCAAAAGTATCCGCAAGGGTACGAATCAGTTGTATTATCGGGATCAAACTCACGGAATAAATCGAGTAGGAATAGATATCAAGTATAAAGATGAAATAATGCAAATAAACTAAGCTAAAGGATTCAACAGCAGACAAAGCAACCCAAGATTGGTTGATTCAACCGGCAAAGAAGGGAGTAAAGTTCCTTCTCAACTCGGGTTCAAGTCCTCACTTAGGGAGAGTCATTCACATGGATTTACCCGGTTCTCCGAGAGATGTGGTCAGACCAAAGATACAGTGAATTTCCGGATTATCAACAAAAAAAACAGCAGACAAGCATTGCGGGTTCGAGAACAAGCAATACGTGTAACAATTGCTAATGGATTTTGAAGCTAAGTTATGATGATTTGTTCGAGGGAATAGAGGAAGATAAACAAACAACTCCCGATGCGAAGTTTACTATCTAAGAATAACTTGTCAACCTCCCGTTCTATTCAAGCTACACTCAAACACATTATTCAAACTCATCTTAATTCCAAACTGTATCCTAATTTTCGATATTTTCACAAATTCAACCTATGAACACTTCCGAAATCAATCTCAACCTCACGGTCTATTGATCGAAATCTAAATTCATTCAAATACCTTTCATAGATATCAGATTCAAACATCAAAAACATCGTTCAACGCAAGTAAATAGCAAAACCATACATGTAGGCTAGCACCCTAACCCACAACAAATGGTAACACTCGCAACTAGTCATGATTACAAAAACAATAGATAAATAAGAAGGAAATCAAAGATAAGAGAAGAAGACGGCTTAGCCAATCCCTTGTTCTCTAGCTCTCTCTTCTGTTTTTCCTACTCCTTTATTTAATTAAGGACGTATAGGGTTGAGGTTCTAGGTCAAGATCTTAATGGAAATCCCGAAAATTGCAAGCTTTCTATTTTTGTTTTTCTCTCAGGACGACGTTCGGACGAACCTTAGGGCGTTCGGTCCGAGCTAGGATGTTCGGCACGGGCCGAGTCTTTGAGCAAGATGCTGAAGCTCTGACACTTGGCTAGACTACTCTTACGTACGGTGCAAGGTGGGGAATGGCGAAGTCTGTAGTTTCTGGTATGATTCATGGTTGCCTCTTGGTCTTCTTATCTTGGTGATTGGGTTTACGGGTCCAAGAATGTTGGGAATCCCTCTGGATGCGACGGTTGTGGAGGTGGCTTCGAACACTTGCTGGTGCATCTTCCCGGCGCGCTCAGATGTGGCACTATCCATCCATCAGGCTATGATTGTCCACCCTCACCCCAGAAACAACATTACCGTTGATCAATTTTATTGGTCGGAGGCCCATCAAGATGCTCACTTCACACCGTTTTCAACCAAGAAAATATGGTCGCTGATCTTCCCATCTCCTACACGAGTCCCCTGGAAGAATGTGGTATGATTTGCCCGTTTTTCACGACATGGCTGGTGATTAGGAACAGATTGCCAACACGGGATAGGATGGCTTCCTGGGGGCTAAACACACCGACTCACTCTGTGCACTATGCAGGGATGTGGATGAAACTATTAGCCACCTGTTTTTTGAGTGCTTTTACTCTTCGCCTTAGTTCGAAAAAAGCCGCCTAGGGCGCGCCTAGGCGGTCGAGGCACATATGCGCTAGAGAAATCCCATCTCCATTCAAAGGCAATGCGACGGACATGAAGCGGGCAAAGGCGCGCCTCTGACATGCGGCAATTTGAAGCGGAGACGTGCGCGTCATCTTACAAGGGCGCAGAAAAAGGCAGGGTAGGAAATAAAAAGGAAAAAACAGTATCGACGAAAAAAAGGGAAGTGAAAGGATTAAAAAAAAGGGAAACGGCAGTTCCACAAACAAAAGAATAATTTGAGAAAGATGATTACGTCAGAAGAGTGGAATGGATCAAAATGGTTAAAAGAGGCGGGGGGAAGGAAAACAGCAGGATTTCTTTTGCAAGATTCCTTTTGGAGAAATATGTTATATTCTCTCAAGTTAACTGCACCTCTTGTTAAGGTTCTTAGGATTATTGATGGGGATAGAAAACCGTCAATGGGTTATATGTATGGAGATATGGATAAGGCCAAAGAGGCTATTGCTACAAATTTTGGTTCTGATGATGAACAATATAAGGTAACATTTGAGTATATTGATAAGAGATGGGACTGCCAACTTCACCGACCTTTGCATGTTGCCGGCTATTTTCTAAACCCAAGTCTCCATTATGGTAATCCGGATTCTAATTGTGAAGAAGTTATGAAGGGTGTATTTGAATACATTGCAAGATTATCTCGTACCGCTGAAATGGAAGACAAGATTATAACAGAAATGGACACATATAAATCAGCGGAGGGTCTTTTCGGTCTACCTACGGCCATTAGATCAAGGAGCACACGTTCTCCAGGTATTTTTTTAAAAAAAATATAAGTTATTATAAATGATATATTTTTATATATTTAGAAATATATAAAATGTTTTTTTTATTTTTCTATCTTTAATAGCAAAGTGATGGTCTTCTTTCGGATCTTCGACTCCTAATCTTCAAAAGTTCGCCATAAAAATCCTCAGCCTCACTTGTAGTGCTACAGGTTATGAGAAAAATTGAGGTATTTTTCAACATGTAAGTACATGTTCCTTTTGTTTGTTGACAATAACATACATTATTTTGTTACCAAACTATTAATTTATATCTTTTTTTATTTTTTTAGATTCACACCAAGAAGAGAAACAAATTAGCACAAAGTCGACTCAATGACTTGGTTTTCATTAAATACAATCGTGTTTTGCAACGCCGATACAAAATGGAAGACACAAGTGATCCCATTCTTTTGGATGAAATTGATGAAAGCAATGAATGGTTACTTGAAAAAATGGAAGGCAATTTGGATGACGATGATTTTGTGTTTGATGATGATGATCGCCTCACATGGAGTCAAATTGGTAGGATAGCAGGGGCTTACGATCCGAGTTATAATACTAGGCGTTCAAGTTTAACAAATGTACAAGATGGTCCCGCTCTTTCCTTTCGGATGAATAAAGGAAAGAGTATAGCTATTGAGAACACTTTGACATTGATGGATGAGGAAGAAGAAGAAGATATTGGTAAAGACGATGATTACGACGAAGATGAACGTTATGATCATATTGATCTTGATTAGATATTTAAAAAAAGACATTGATCGATGTTTTGGATTTTTTATTTCGGATTTTATTTTTTTGTTTGATGATTTTGAACATTAATATATATTAAGTATTTTAGATTTGGATAATTTATGTATATATTAAACATAATATTTAATATATCTTAATAATATTTTTACAAAAGCGCCTCGCACACAGAATGCATGCGCTTCGCATCGCGCCTCGCACCTCGGATTTTAGAGACCTCTTGCGACTCTATGCGCCCCGTGCATTTTACAACCAAGCTCTTCGCATATCTGACCGGTAATCTTGCACCAATCCTCGATATCGCCACCAACGTCTCATGGCTTGGCTGAAACCTTGACTTAGTTGAACTCTTGCACAGGTCCGTAAGATATAAAATACATGATCTTGCTGCTTTTTCAGGCCTCGATTTATGTGCTATGGATGCAGAGAAATTCGAGGATTCATCGCTCGGAATCTCGCTCGTCTGAGGTGACCTGCAAGGACATCATCCAGATTACCCGACGAAAGCTATCTTCGGTTCGGGTGGACATATTGGCTCCTGCTACAGAGGACTCGATGATGACCCGATGGATTCGTTACTTCGATCATCTATGATTTGTGTCTCTTTCATGTTTTTTTGGCTATTGTGATTGGTTGGTAACATTTGAAATGTTGTATTCACAAACTCTCTTCCTTATACTTGGGCTACATAATAGAATTTACCTTTTACCAAAAAAAAAATAAGAAAATCATAGGAAAAGTTCGATATGCTTACATTTTCCATAGACGACCCAGCTGTAGTACCTCGATGATGATTCTGCTTGGCAAGACATTTTCTGACTCTCGACAAGTAAACGGAGTTTTGAATGAAAACAATTTATTCAAGTAGATTTCGACTTTGTTACACCACGCCGTTCGTAGCTTCTCGTTTATTACGAATGTTTTTGAAATTCAGATTATCGCATTTTTTATCTTTCAACTTGAGACATTTTGATTTTAAAAAAGTTTCAGATTTTGATCTTTTAACCATTTTCATTTTTTATTTTCGATTGATCATGCGTACCCCTGAAGTCTAATGGAAGTTTGAAGCGTATTTACGATATTTCGCAATAGTCAAGTCATATTTGAAATAAATAGATTCCGCAGCCATTTGATTTTTTGTAGTCGATCAACATAACTTTAGAGTAAAACTAAAGTTGTGATCTTGGTTTACCGACGTTATATATTTTAGCTTTAATTCAATTCAATTTTTATAAATAAATTGTTTTAATTCAAACGCTCCAATTAATTTAATTTAATTGAAATAAAGATATCCACAGCTATTACTATGTTCACACATCAACCACAGAACTGCAATGAACAGTTTAACAGACAAATTAAACTTTCAATACCAACCTCCCACAAATAATTTTCTTTTTCTTTTTGGTCGACAGATGTTCAATTTCTTTTTTTTTCTTTTTTTTTTTTTTTGCATTTTCCCTTTACTTTTCATATCATATGCGGAGGGATAGAGAAAACCTTATGTCCGGTTCAGACAAACCGGGAAGATGCATTAAAAAACCAATGGACGACGAGAGGGCGTCCTTTGAAAATCGCCAAAGCACCATCCATGGAAGCTTGACCAAAATGGTTGGAGCAGCTTCCTCTCTTCAATTTCTGTTTGAACCCTAAAAACCCAATTCACTTCAGAGATCGATCCGACAAATTGATCATAGCAAAGCTTTCATCTGCATTTGTCTGTCACGAAACCTCAACAGCACTTTTTGTAAGAACCGGGTCAGGGTTAATGGTGTCGGATACTCTGCTTGGAGGCCAATACCGAAACACTGATCTACCGACGATGTTCTCTACCGGGAGTGGACCCCTGCAAATACATTCCGGAACAATGTTAGAGAATGGAATATCGATCCAACTTATATACCGCCTAAATGTTTTTCTAATTAGGGTTGGAGCCGTATTTTCCTTTCTGTTGGTAGTTTGGTACTTTGGTCCTAAATCCCATTCTATTGCGCTTTAGTCAAGAATCAAACTGGATCTTCTTGGAACCATCCTTGAGATTTTTGAGACCCAACCAGACCACCTTAACAACAGACATTATGATTCTTCCAAAGATATCGGCATTTAGACAATTACCAGTTATGAGAATCGAGGCTCTTGTTGCGGTTGTCTCCTAGAACAAAGACGCACCCTTCAGGGACAAGCTACAAGCCAAGCGGAAAAAGCCATGTCACCACCAACAAAGCTTAAACACAACCTCGGGTATTGCATTTGGATAGCAAACAGAAAGAGGAAGGTGTGAGTGAGTTGCTCACCACTGGTTCCAACTCATATGAAAGTGGTTCCAACACAAAATCTTCTTCTCGAACAGTGCCGTTCACAAAGAGCTTCCCGTCACGGACCTACAATGACATTACGTTGATGGGTTAGAAACTGATACAGAAATTAAATTGAAAACTTTCATTTTGAGATGTCTTGCAACTAATATTAGGGGGGTAAACACAGATTCCATAGGATAAATAAGAACAATCCATCGGATATGAGAGCTTACTTCGACACAGTCACCTTCTTTCGCAACTATCCTCTTTATGAACACATCATCAGAACTGTAACCCCATTCCTGCAGAGTCAAGCAGAACGTAAACCCTTTAGTTTAACCGACCGACACAAAATACCACAGACAAGAAGAAAACTGTTCCATAAAAAGATGATCTGAAACCTACCTGCAAGATGGGAGGAGCCTTAAAGATCACTATATCCGAAACCTCGGGCTTCCTGAAAATATATGAAACCTGACCGACACCAACATAAACAGAAACCATCACTCAACATCATCAGTGCAAAGCCGTGATTAGCAAAGCAACCAAAGAGTGAAACCGATAAACAACTAAATCCCAATTACAAGCAGAAGACACATTCCAGATATCGTTAGTGTAACGACTAGCCAGCCACAAGTAACTCGCCACCAGAATTCTACAACTATATCAAACCAAGAAACGCCCTATAGGACAATAATCATGACCCTAGAAACTAACTTTCACCCGACCCAGAATCTAGAAACCGATTTAATCCAATCTAGTTCAGTCGTGGAAAAGACAAACTTTTAACTCCCGAAATTTACGTTTCGTAAATCAGAAACAGCCCGGATTATTACCTTCTCTGCAAGAATTCGATCACCCACATCTAAGGTCGGGTACATAGACATGGACGGGATCGACTTCGGCTCCGCCAGAGCCGACCGGAAAAGCAAAGTCACAGTCATCGCCGTGAAAGCTGCCTTCGCATCCTCCGAGCAGAAATTCAAGAGCTTGTTGACCCATCCTACACTCTTCCCACCAAAATCCTTATCATTCAGCTCCAAATTCATACTGACCCCTCTACACGCCGTCGTTCCTCCCCTGTCAACATCATCAATATCCGGCGACGTCGTTGCCGGATTGTTACACGGAAGCCACTTTGACCCTTGGAGGAAGGGGATGATAGACGAGGCCTTGAAGGGCGAAATTCCCAAGACGCTCATCCCCGAAGACTCGGGAGCGCCTGCCGTTGACTTCATGATCGAGATCAGACCCATCACAAGCGGGCTCTGGGAATCTTCTCCGAGAATTTCCCTCGCGATGGTGCTGTACATGGAAGCTGGTCGGAACCGGGATTTGGATCCGGTGAACCACGGTTTGGAACCGGGAGACTTGTCCAGATCCGTCTTCTGGTTGTGTCCGAAGAGTCTGGGTCGGACAAAGCACTCAAGGCAGGAGCGGAAGTCGCCGGTGCCGACACGAATCCCGGCGGAGGAAGCGAGATTCCGGGCAACGTAGCCGGAGTAGGTGAAAGTAACTCTAATCGCCATAACTGCAAACTTGACAAAGAACTGTAAGAGGTAAAGGTAAATTGTTGTGTCGTTGATCAAGAGGGTTTTGGTCCAATGAAGACCTAGAAGAACAAGAACGCCATTTCTGATTAATCGATTAGTTAATCGGAAACGGGATCGAGGAATTGACAGGGTCTAGTAACGCCGGCGAGATAACCGAAGACTATTTCGCCGGCGAATTCGGATTCCGGCGACAAACGATCGAGCGGACGAGAGAGAGAGAGAGAGAGAGAGAGAGAGAGAGAGAGAGGCTAGGACGCAAGGTTGTTCAAGGTTCACGAGGAGAGGAACAAACGCGGAAGAAAGAAAATGTTTTTATGTCCTTTAAAACGACGACGATTTCTTCGTTTCAGAACAACCCTTGCTGCTTACATTATTCACGAAAATGCCACTGCTTTCATTCTGTCATTAATGCATCACTACCACCTTAAGCTGTCTTAAAACTTCTATATTAGTGATGATTATTCATATTTACTCCAAATTTTACTTGGTTATTTCAAATTTGTTTGATTTGTGAGGAACTGAATCTAAAAAAAATATATCAAATTGAATTTGGCTTGAATCGAAATCCAATTTCATTCAAAATTTGGTTTGAATAGATGACATACATAAATCGAGAAATGGACAAGGGTGGTTGACTCAAGTGGTAGTGGTAGGTGGACATGCGCAAAGAGTGTTCGTTCGAACCCCATTCTTTGCAACTCACATATTATCAATAAAAAAAGTTTTAAAATCCAAGTTTTATTGGTATCGAGTTAGATGTAGTTATACTCTAATAATTTTAGATATAATTATGAAAATACAAATTACTTTTCAAACTTCTATGATTTTTCCAATTAAACACCAAGGATTAACCGATAACCGATTTGGCATTTAAACAAATATATGAGAGTAAATTTTTGTTGAGGTAGCTTTAGGGGTAGAAATGTAAATATCGGAAAATCTCGGGGCGATGCTACGGTTCAATCAATTCCAGATTTGTTGACTTTATGACCACAAATGTGTTGATCTACCTTCCTTCCATCTTCCTTCCTGGCTGCTAGGAAAATAAAAAAAAAACTAATTAAATTATGGCCCCATAATTCTAACTAATTATTTGTCTCTACTTTAATTTTTAGAATTACTGACTAGCCCAAAATTGCATTTCACATTTAAATCGTACCTTCTCCCGTAGAAAATATAGCACAAAGAATTTTATATGAGAGAATTTTCTGTGATGAATTAATCAAAATTTTCTATAAAATGTAACAGAACGTTTAGCTTTTAGATGCTCAATTTTAGATGCTCAACATATGTAACATTTTATTTTTTATGGGTTTCACTAAAAATTTCAAGTTAGTAGAGTTAATTCAAAGATTATTATCTATAATCACTTCAACTACGAGTTGATCCAACAAAAAAAATCTCAACCTTGTAAAAATATTTCATATAAAACCTTCAACTTATAGTTTTCCACAAAAATCTTGAATTTAGCAAAAACTTCAACAAAAATTAGAAATTTATCATTTTCTTTCGTATAAAACCTTTAACTTATTTAACCAAAAATATTACTGACATGGCACGACGGATTATTGATGTCACTTACTGAGTTACAACATTATCACCACATCATCAATTTAAAAATTAAAATATAAAAATAAAATTAAAACACATACACATATATACCTATATATATGTATATATATATACATATACATATATACATACAATCATATATATGTATACATATGTGTATGTATATGTATATTTATGTATATATATGCATGTGTATGTATATATGTATATATATGTGTATGTATGTATATATATTTTTTATTTTTATTTTTAAATTGATGATATGGCGCTGATGTGATAACACAATTAGTGTCATGTTAGCAATCTGTGGTGCCACGTTAGCAATATTTGTTGTCAAACGAGTCAAATATTTTATATGAAAGAAAATGACAAGTTTTTAATTTTTGTGAAAGTTTTTGTCAAATTCAGAGTTTTTTGTGGGAGATCGCAAATTTAAAGTTTTATATAAAACATTTTAACAAATTTGAGGTTTTTTGTGGGATTAACCCCTTCAACTATATATATATATATTGTCATAATTTAATATGGGGAATATTTTGGTTTGAATCATCGCTCGTCCAAAAATATTATTTCAATACGTTCAAAATTATTTTTTTTATCGGTCAATAATAATTTGAACTCATAAAATAATGATCTTATTTTGTACTTTGCTTTAATAGTATTTTTGGAATAGTAAAAATATAAAAATTGTAAGTTTTTTTTTCTAATCATGTGATTTTGAGCATTCAAAGTTTGTGCATAGGTAAATAAAAGATTATAAAAAAACATATGTTATTGGAAATTTAAGGAAATTGGAGTATTTTTTTATTTTAAAAACTTAGCAACAAAATAACAACAAAATTATATGTTTATTAATAATTTTTATTTTTTATTATTCAAAAATATTCATAATAATTATATAAAATTATAAAGCTATATTTGGTCTTTTTTTTATTATAAATTTGACTTCCAATATCTCGAAATATCCAATACCAAAATTTGGATATATGATACTTTTAAATCTTAAATTGACATCCCAACTTAATTTGCAGGTAGTCGCTGTTTCATGTGGGCCCACTACTGACGTAAGTGCTAACGTCATATCCGACGTGCTTTGATGTTTTTCTCAATTAATCAATAATCATAAGAGATTAGTCGTTACATTAATGAGGTAAACTACTAAAAGTTTGACCAAAATACCTTATCAAGACGTTAATTTGTTGCTTTAAATATCATATTTTTTTTATTTTAATAACAATATGTTATTTAGCATCTCACATATATGGTTTGACGTTATATATTTTGTCAACTGCATAATAATTAATTAAAAACGTTAATAATATATTTGTTTAAACATAGCGTACGTGAAGCTACAAATATGACACGCCTCTTTCAAGAAAACTGCGAACCGAATTTCAACAAATAGTGAATTTCAAAATGTGTAGTTATTTATTAAACATGAGTTTGTTTTGATATACCAAAACAATTTTTTCTCAAATAAATTCATTAAATATAAAAAAAAAACATTGTGAACAAAAATTCCCAATTAAGCTACATCCAATTGATAAATTTTATTTTTTGGTTTTAATGTGAATATATATACCAAAAAAGAATATTTTACATCCCAAATTTACAACCATAATCAGCCACTAAAATTCCCATGTGTAAACGTTAATACTCTTTGAGCAACAAAAACTTTATCATGATGTGAAATCAGTCTTCCAAAATGGTAGTGAGTACACACGATTCAGACGGCTGCGAGTACACATGAAAGTGTGCGACGAATCCCACCAAAATCATTCGAGCAGAGGCAAGTCGTGACAAGTAAGGCATGACAATTATGCCAAAGTATACTTCATATGCATGATTTAAAACTATGATAACAACCGTTATATATATACACATATCTATTTCGGTTTGATATTCAGATTTTATTATTACTATTATTTTAAAAAAAGAGAAAAGTTTTCATATATATATATATATATATATATATATATTTGAATAATGACAAATTAAACTATTAATATGGGGCATTATCAAAAATACCCTTAATTTGTTATTTCTACTTCAAGACATACCCTTGTGACCATGTGACCGAAATATAGTATGGTCATATATTGATCTCATTGTTCATAACGTTAAATTTATGATGTTTTAATCAAATGATTAGTAAGATATACAAGGTATGAACATAATGAATTAGTGTGATCACCATAAATTTAACGTTATAATCGATAAAAATCAAAATGTGACCATACTATATTTTGGTCACATTGGTCACATGTGACCAGGGTAGGTCTTGAAGTAGAAGTAGCATTTTAAGGGTATTTTTGATAATG